CTTTCATTATAATAAATTTTTTAAAAAAGAGAAGCAAAGGGAAGTATTCTGAGAGGGATTTATGGCAATGTGTCTTTCATTATAATAAATTTTTTTAAAAAGAAGCATTCACCATAGTTTCTGATCATACCACATATGTCCCCTCCCCGTGAATGGAAGCCACACTTAGAGACTGGCTGACTGGGAGGATATGGTGGACAGGATGCTATGTGACATCCAGGAGGGAGAGCACTTATTGCTGGAGGCTTGAGCCTTCTTGTAAGAAGTCCTGCCACCCTGGGCACCGTGCTGGAAGGAAGCCAAGCCAGCCGGGCAGAGACCGCATAGTGAAGAGGCTCTAGAGAAATGCCTGCCCCCCCGCAGCTGTGCCAACCTGGGCAGCCTCTGACTTCAGCCTCAAGAGCACCACCCAGCCAAGCCTTCTGGAATTCCTGGCTCACAGAAACCATGAGAAATAAAAAAAATTAGTGTCACCATAGGCGGTCACTCAGTTTTGGGGTGGTTTGCTAGGCAGCCATAGATAACTGATAAAGACCTCTTGCTTCCTTTTTGTAAATGCGGAGGCTTGGTGTGTCCAAGGTCACCGTGTTGATAGGTGCCAGAGTCACTGCTTTGCAAGCTGTTGGTTAAGCATGGATGTCTTTATTTTTATTTTTTAAATCTCAGTCATTTTATTATGAACCCTTTGTATTACGTGTGTCTACCTGATAAGTTGTTGAAAGTTCTTACCTTGTTTTTCTTTTATTCCCACGCCATACCGTCTGTTCAACCCCTTCTCTCCTCCCCATTTACAAAAGCTTTGTTTCTGTTTTTCCTTCTTTTCTCATTTGCATGGTTGCCTTTTTTCTTTTGTCCTTTTGAGACAGGGTCTCGCTATGCAGTTCAGGCTGAACTTGAGCTCACTTTGTAGCCCAGGCTGGCCTTGAACTCACAACGATCCTCCTGCCTCAGCCTCCCGAGTGCTGGGATTTCAGGCTTGTGTGCCATGACACCCAGCTATGGATGCCTTTAAAACTCTGGAAATCTACTCAAGACCTGAAGAAGAAGAACAGGGTGTTCTGAGCCCCGGGGCACCCTCTACCCTCTGGGCACCTCTGTGCCCTCTTCCCACCCTTAGCTCTGTGTCAAAGGCTGCCACTCAGGCTGGTCAGTGGAGCCCCCTCCCCCTGCCGCACCTTCTCTGCTATTCAGCAGCTCCGTGCCCGTGGGGAGCACAAGCTGGTGTCTACTTTGTATTTGCACTTAAATGTAGCTTCCATTTTTTAGTGCTTGCTGTATACAGATGCAGCGCTATACATATGATCTCTTTTATAGTTCTTTTTTTTTTTTTTTTTTTTTTTTTTTT